GGTGGAAAGAAAACATCAGGATTGGTTTGATGAAAATAGCAAGGAAATCGACTTATTCGTCAAGAATAAACGTGTAGCCTTCCTTGACTGGAAGATCAACCCCAGTTTCGGACCAAAGCTGATACCATTGGCCACAAGAAAGCGATGGCCCAGTGGAAACTTCGTGAACTAGAGGACGAATGGGGGAAAAAGAGGGTGTGTGATATGCACAAATTTCAGGATCAAGAAAAGATGCAAAAAATTATCAATTCCACTGAAACAATGTATGGCACAATTACTCATGGTGCGGCCCCCCTCTGCTAATCCAACAGTAACTCCCTAATTTAAGACGAAGAAGCAGTCCATCAGCGCTTGAAAAAGACTACCATTCGCTGCTTAACCGAAACACCAATGTGGATGTCAGGACTACCCAGCAGGTCCCTCAGAACAAAGAGCTGACCCACCTCGGCTATCCTCCATCCCGTGATGAGGTAGCTACTTCAATAAAGCAGATGAAAAATAACAAAACACAGGGCTTGGCTGATTATTAAAAAATATCAACTCGACAATTAAAGTGGTTAACAGGTGTCTGGTAATGTGCTGGATACATTTAACTGTATTAAAAAAAATCAATATTATACTCAAGGCACTTATGATACAGAAAAACAAACAACTATCAGTAAGCATAATAGAAGCATCAATTATTGGTACAGCATAACATAAAACTGACCTTAAACAAGTAACAAATTGTGGCAACACACCCAACATTTAAATCAAAACCACCAATAAAAGCCAAGACTAACTCAAGCAGCAATCACCGTGTTCCACCCACAAACTTGCGATGTTGCTCAAATATTATATTAATTACTTAACTTAAGCATTCACTTATAACACCACATATCAACGGCCTGGAACCTCTTTCTGGTGTCTGCTGAAAGTGTCCACGCTTATAAATACAACAATCCTTGCCATATATAGCCTTTCAAGAGCCTGTTGCTTAAATTGAACTTAATGTTCCTTTTCCTTTGGTCTTTAGATTATTAAATGTTGTTTTCGCTAGACCTATACTCCCTCTTATCATCATTCTTCGTCTATCTTTTTTTTTGTCATCCACTCACCTTTAGCCTCGTTCCTCCTATGTCCTATAAGTTTTCCCCAGTCTCTAACATTACTTCTTTGTAATTATTAAGTTGTTGTCCTGGTCCTTGTTCACCAAAATCATCCTCTAACAATACTAAAACAATTGTTAGTTTTAATATCACATGCTATGCATCCATTGACTTGAGCTTCCCTCAATCCCATTAAATATTTTCCATTGTTCTTCGTTTTCATTATTGAAGTTATAGCCTCACTATACTTATTACTGGGACGTGGTCTGACCCACAATATGACCCTGGATAGGTATTGGTTTGGGTTATTGAATTTCTGAATCTCTTCTGAATTAAAATATAATCTATTTGATTTCGGACTAAGTTGCTTACATTATCCTAGGATGAGATCTATGTATAGAGATGCCTAGGGTGTTGTTCAAACCATGTACTGTATTTGCAATTGTCATCTTCATTTTCTTGCAAAAGTAAATTAATATTTCTCCTCTTTCATTTCTATTACCCAACCCATGTGGTCCTGCTTCTGGTGCTTCTTTCCAGGGCCGGATTCAGGACTGGGCAAAGTGGGCAGCTGCCCAGGGGCCTCCACATATTACAGTATGTTCTAATTTCCTCAATATAACTGCCTGGCCACGTCATAGGAAGCTTAACCCAAAACTACAGCACACTTCCCATTTCGCCGGCGTCCCGGACTCCTAATTGGTGGATTAAAGGTGTGTGTCTAGTTATCAGAACACCCATTGGTTGCTACTCCCACCAGCTGATCTTCGGGCTATATACACTTAATGGCTTTTTTCACTTCTTCTTCTATTCCTTCTCTCTCTCTTATTCTTCCTCTTCTTATATTTATTCTTCTCTCCCTCCTCCCCTCTTCCTACCTTCCCATTGCTATCTTCTATTATTTTCTTCATATTCTTTTTCTTCTTGAAATATGAGGAGAAGAGAAAAGGAAGTGAGAGACAGAAGAGATAAAGCAGAGAAAAGAGAAGAGAGTGCATGTGAAAAATAAGTTGAATGGGTAAGTCAAGCATAACTGAAGATAAGAGGAGAAAGAGTAATAATAAGTACATTTATCTAAGGGATGTAATTAAAGTAGCAAATTACTTATTATCCTGAGCCTTTTTAAAGATACAAGAGAATTTATTTACCTAACATTTCCTTAAAGAGTTTCACTTGTACCAAGAAATTGTGGATCACGGCTGAAGTCACTGTTGAAATCACCCTGTGTGTGTGTGTGTGTGTCCGGAGAGAGAGTGAGGTTATGGGATGGGAGAATGAGAGGAAAAATTAAATTAAAAAAGAAAAGAGAATAAGGAGAAATAACTTCAATCTCTAACATATATATCAACTTCTTCAACTTTTTTGTTTTAATTAATATCTAATAACTTACTATATCAACTTCTTCAACTTTTGTTTTGTATAATTAATATCTATTAACTTAAAATATCCTTCATATTTATCAAAGTACCACACGCACACATATACTTATACAGGGATATATAAAAACAATAATATATAACATCATAATATAATTTTAAAGCCACAATGACTGTACAGCAGTGTTTTGGGGTGAGCTCATGACATTATGCCCATATTAAGTCTTAAAACAACTAAAGAAAATACAGTACTTAAATTACAATATAAAACTAATGATAAAAATAATGACTAGATTTACCAAAGAATAACAAGACCAACAGAAAATATCTTAATTAATATCAATAAATTAGTCGCTTCTTCAAAAAAGTTTATCAGCCATGTATAAATTATTGTATTGTGAATAAACCCACATATAAACTGGTTTAATGTATACAGTGATATATAAACCCACATATAAACTGGTTTAATGTATACAGTGATATATAAACCCACATATAAAAAGTGGTTTAATGTATACAGTGATATATAAACCCACATATAAACTGGTTTAATGTATACAGTGATATATAAACCCACATATAAAGAGTAGTTTTAATGTATACAGTGATATATAAACCCACATATAAACTGGTTTAATGTATACAGTGATATATAAACCCACATATAAACTGGTTTAATGTATACAGTGATATAAACCCACATATAAACTGGTTTAATGTATACAGTGATATATAAACCGACGGTAAGCTGTAAAAGTTAATACTTACGCTGTATAAATATTTTGTTATTATGTTTGAGTTAAATGAATCTCATGTATAATTATTATTCATATGAAGAATGAATTAATATCATAGCGCACAGAGGAATAAGTAGTGGATAGACTAGTAACATGGTGTATAAATAAGTTATATATTATATAAATTACTTAGTATTGTAAGTCAATATATGGTGTAGGGACCGGTGTATTAGAACACAACACAACATACAACAATTGTGTATAACAAGGCAAAACAAACCACATTTGTTTATAACGAAATTAAATCTACAATATAACAATTATGCATAACGACACTAAACGTATAACACTTGTGTATAACGACGATAAACGTACATTATCTACACATAACGAAATTAACTCACAGCAATTATTTGTACTAAAGAAACATTACAGTGAAATAAGAAAATAATGACTATACGCTCTTGAGGCGTCTCTCTCTCTCTCTCTCTCTCTCTCTCTCTCTCTCTCTTATTCTTCCTATCGTAACGTTATTCAGAAATTGTTCCATTACCTTCGTGGTCTGTTTCTTTCCTCTAGTATTAATCATCCTTTTTCCCCTCTAACTGCTTCTTCTCCTCTTACTCGTTCTTCTTCCCCTCTTCCTCCATAGCTTCTTCCCTTCCTCTTTGGTTGGGTTTTACCAGGGTTGGAAATGTTGAGTTTGACTACACTTGAGGTCCTTAGTTGGCAGTATAGCTAGGTTTGGCTAGGCTGGCTAGGCTACGGTGGAGTAGTAGCTTTGGCTTGACTAGGTTGACAGTGGTGAAGTGGCAACGTTAGACTCAAAACTACCCCAATAACGATTGTATTGGCTAGGCTGGGCTGGGAGGCTACCAATGTGCAGCAGTTTCAGTCATCACTGGTCAGCTGTTGCAGGTACTCTATTGCCGGGGTCCACGCAATACCAGCTGTTTCTCCCATCACTGGCTGTAAGGCCCCGGTGGTGTGAGAGTGATGTCTGTAGGGAGATGTAAGTGTTAATAATAATAATAATAATAATAATAATAATGATAATAATAATATGTAACAATAATCACATACACGCGACTGGCGTCGAGCTCACCTTAGGCCACAGGCAGAGTGATGTTATGTAAGGAAGATTTCGCGTCTGACCCGACCTGGTGGACCAGAGCTGAGCAATGAGGTTAGGTTGAGCGAGTCTGAAGGTGGCACTCTCTCTGTCTTCCCACCTGATGAGTGACGGGTTGGTTCTGCTGTCACTGAGTAACCGCATCAGGAACTCCCAGCTTTTTGGTCCCCTTACTGTTGAGAGAGAGAGAGAGGATTAGTATTTGTTGTTGTTTACTATGATTGTTGTTGTAGTTGTTGTTTTTGATGTTTGTTGTTGTAGTTATTTGTTCTTATTGTTTGTGGTTGCTGTTGTAGTTTGTTATTGATCTTATTATTATTGATTATTCTATCTCAAACAGTTATTTATTATTTCACCACTTATCGCTATATAGTTTATCAATATCTTAAAGAAAATAGGGATGTGCCAAGTTACACCCAGAAGTTCATATTAAGGGCTGACTACCCCCCTCTTTATGTACATGCCGCCAGACCCACGTAGCTCACACCATAGGCTGACTTTTAGGGTCATGAGCAAATGTGTTGGCCATAATTTGTGCGGACACTTCCATGCTCTTCCTCCTCTTGAGCCTCTCCTCCTCCTCTCTTATCCCGTGATCATACTTAAATCCAATAAACATGGAGGAGTCAGACAGGGGCAAAGGGGGTGGGGAAACTCATAACTTTCTAGTCTTGGACGGAATCTTCTTTAGCTTACGTCGGAGCTTGGTAGTACCAGTTCCCGACCACTGAAGTCACCACTCGCATCACGGTAATCACCACTAGCGCTACTGATGTCACCACTAGCGCTGGTAAGGGATTCCTGGCCGTTCATTGTTTGAGTTTCTGTACAGAAAACAATTGTTAATTCTACTGAAACAAATATTAGTATGTAATTGCTTAAAGGGATCCATATCGGTATGCGGAGCCCGAGGCAGGTGCCATTAAAACCCTAACGAATTGTTTGGTTAAGCTGTAACGCCATTATAATCGTCAAGTGTTGTTGAGTAATGGTAAATATGGTAGTGAATGGCGTAACTTACCACACTTGATGTGCACAAACTGCTCCTGTAGGCCCAGATCTTGTAAATCGTCCACCACGGCGTTATAGGCCCCTGGTCCTCCTAGAGGCTGTGACTGTGACTCGTCTCCAGCTGTATCCCATGACCACGGATCTTGGGTGTCACAGGGGGCGTCATTCGATAGTGAGGAGGATGGCCACGACTCTTGGAATTCGTCAAGACCTCCTTCAGATAGCTGGGGTGGCCAAGGTTCCTCTGGCAGGTAGCGATCGACATCAACTAAGTTGAGTCTTGTGGTTCCCCACTCCTGGCTGTCATAGAGGCAGTTGGAAGACATGGACTTCCCCATGTTTCTCCTCCTGCTCCTCCAGTAGCTCCTGTAAGGGCGAGAACTATATACTGAAGGTGTTTAAGGTTGACCAGAGCTATAATTATTCTCGACTGGATCATAAGGAAAAATGATCTTCTCATTAGGCATCCCAGCTTATTCTGATGATTAACACCCTAGCTTTATGTGGAGGGAGGGTTAGAAATGAATAGATTAGGCTAATTAAAGTAAGTTTAAATTAGGTTATAGTAGGTTAGATTAGGTAATGTTATGTTAGGTTATCAATGGAGTCTATCATTATCAGATATAATAAGTTGGGGTGTCTAATCTTCAGTAGACCCCAAATAATGACTCAGAAGGAGCCCAGATGTTAGATGAACTCGAGAGACAAGTTCAAGGAGTCGTGAGAAGGTTTTGATAATGGCTGTTACATTACTGTCTCAACAACACCTAGAAGCCAACACTTACCATACTGAAGGTTCTGCAGTTCCTGGTGATAGATCAGCACAGTAGTCACCCAGGAAGCCTCTCAGCTGGGTGTGTGAGAGAAGAAGGAGCTGCCTGCCGGAGATGGTCGTCAGGGGCTGTAGATTAACGCTGTATGGGTCGACTCCATGGCCCTGTAGGATCTCCTTCGCCCACAACTCTACCTGCTGAGGGAGTGAGACAGGTGAGTACACGGTCTCTCTCTCTTTAAAACACATATAGATCACGATTCTCTTTCTCTCTTTCTCACCCACAGACCAAAATCTTTACTCTCACCGTTTCTACCACTGACACACATACGGCCATTAAAGACCGGGAATACTGTAGACAGATAATGGAACAATAGACATCCTAAAATAGATAAAAATAGAAAAATAAATCGACTTACTTCTCCGCTCCAGTCATTGACAGGAAGTGTGTTGAATTTATCAGTAGACGTCTCGGCGCCATCCTGGAAGATGGAACAGCTGTCTCCACCGCCCAGGTAAGTGTTGCAGAAGCTGTTTATGTCCCTCTCGTCCCCCAGCAGCGAAGGGGCGAAAGAAGGCTCGATGTGGTCGCCAGCCGTTGTTTGCCATGTCTTCCTCGGTGCGTGTGAGTGTGTGTGTGTGTAAGTGGAGGAGATATGATTGGTAGTATTTACGTTATTGCCGTTATTGTGGTGGTAGCGTTAGGTTATTGTTGTTGTTGTGGTGGTGGATGTTGACGGTTCACGGTTCGTTAAGATTCTCTTTGTGGTTCCTTATGAATCCTTTATAAAGTTCGATGTAAATAACATTTAACCCTCACTATTACACTAGAGTCAATATCTAACTCTTTCTCGTCTTATTGTCTTATACTGAGGAGATGTAAACACTTTGTTGCCTCTCCTGCCGGTGTGTTGAGATTATATGACACTGGAGTACTGAGAGGGTCATATATATATATATACGCAGTGGAGGAGCGGCGCGGCTACTCAGGTACAAGACCTCAGTAGGGGAAGTCGCCCGAGGTCATACCGCCAGCAACACATTCCTTCTTCGTCACTGTGTTAAACGTTTGCCGCGGATAGGCCGTACGCCAGCCCCTCCTTCCTTCATTCCCTTATTCCTCCCTTACTTCCCTCTCCCAATCCCTCCTTACATTCCTCCCTCTCTCCCTACTTCCTTCCCCATTTCATTTTCATCTGTACGAAACCTACCTCCTTCTTCTACCTCACTGCTTTGCTCCTTCGTTCCCTCCCACCCATTCCCCACTCCCTCCCTCACCCGGGCTATTCCCGTATTAATCATCATCGTGACGGTAATGTCCCTTCTAGTGGGACGCCACGGTATCTCCTAGCCCCCTCCCTCCCTACTTCCCTCTCTCCTTCCCTCCCTCTCTTCCTCCAACCCTCTCATTCTTCCTTCACCCACCCCCTTCCTCCGATCTTCTCGTTCATTCTTTCATCCCTCCTTACCGTTCACTCCTCCTCCCTGTCTCGCTCCTCAGGCACCCCCATCCTACCTCTTCCTTCCCTCTTCCTTACTCCCTCTAGTTTTCACTTCCTTTCCACCTCTCCTTTCTAACACCACCCTACACCACGCTACAATACACCACCACACTACACCACCACACTAAACCACCACACTACACCACCACACTACACCACCACACTAAACCACCACACTAAACCACCACACACTAAGCCACCACACTACACCTACCACTAAACCACCACACTACACCACCACACTAAACCACCACACTAAACCACCACACTACACCACCACAATAAATACCACACTACACCACCACACTAAACCACCATACTACACCACCACAATAAACCACCACACTACACCACCACACTACACCACCACACTACACCAGCAAGACTCCACAAGCAAGGTGGTGAAATGGATATCATCCTGGGAATGATGTAATTGACAACCCTCAAGCTGTAAGATGATACAACTGTTTTTGTTTTTTTTACTGCTGTGTCCTCCGACCTAAACATAGCGACTTGCCTTCGCCAACATTTTATTACCTAAATGTCCAAATACAAAAGAAACTACCCTATGGGGCATTCAGTAACTGTTTGCCTCTTAGTCAATGTTCGCTCCTGTTGTTTGGCTTAAGGACCAATAATCTTGTTCTACTGAGGCAAAGCAATACAGCTCTAAGTAGAGAAGAATACGCGACATCTCAACCAGGCTGAAATGTAACTTCTGGGCTTCTAATTCAATTCATATAACACCTCGGCAGGAGCATCTTGCATTTGGTTCCATCCCACCAGAGGTTGTGAACACCAGAGGAGTGAAGCTACCTTGATCCACATTTTGATTTTTTTACTTGTGCTCTGTTCTTGGCGTATTCTTTCCACCTGTGTGCAGACTTGAGACGGTAATAGTGACAAGTAGCCATGGGGTCGAATACCCTGATATCAAAGACGGCTCGCTGTCCCGCGACCAGAATCCTTGAGCTTTGACGTTCACACGGGCTTCGATGGATATGTTGGAAGTCCTGTGATGAAGATTATCACCATCTAAAGGAAGGCAGGTCTGTTCCAATGTATCGACATTGCAGGATTTCCTTCAACATATTCGATGGGGATCCCTACTACTTCTACTACTACCCCTCCAACCTCCTCCTATAGCCATCCCTTCACCATCATTATATTACCTAGTATCTTTATACAAAAGTAGCTACCCAAATTGAGTTAGTTAAACAGAGCTATAGGACATTCGGTGACTGTTGCCTCATAGTCAATACCCGTTACTGTTCTTTGGCTTAGGGCCCGATGATCTCGTTCCCTGAATCAAAGCAATGCAGACCTAATTAAAGTGAAGGACAGTCGACATCTCAATCAAGTTTAAACGTAGCTACGGGCTGCTGCTGCTGTTCAGAGGTTGTGAACACCAGAGGAGAGAAGCTGCCGTGATCCACATTCTGAATTCTCTGTGAATACGCCCTATTAATTATTGGTGTTCTCCTTCTTCCTGTGTGCCCACTCAAAAGACAGGTCATGGTGAGATGCGGCCATGGGGTCGAGTATCCTGATATCAAAGAACGCTCGCTGTCACCGTGTCCAGAATCCTCGAGCGCGGCGTCCACACGGGCTTCGGTGGACGTGTTGCAAGTCCTGTGATGGAGATTCTCACCGTCCAATGGAAGGAGAGTCGGTTCCACCATTACGTCGTGGTAGATATCCTTCAACATATTCGCAGTGAGATCCCTTAGCTTACGTCGTCATGCCTCCTGCATACAAGGCTACCCTTCTTGAACGCCATGACATGGTCCCATGTGTCGTAGGATAAGCCACACACGCGTGGGTAGACAAACCTTCTACTGGCCAACCATACCTTAGACTCAGAGCAATGGCATCTGTAAATTCTTGTTTGTTGAGGTTGAAGCCCTTTGCCATTATCGATAACGTTGTTAGTCAGTTTGATGCGCCCACCTCCTGCACTAAATCTTTCTAGTTCACCCCAACAGTTGTTGCATTTCTGGTTGAAGTTTATCACATTGTGTGTGCTGCCGTTCTATCGTAATGGACCGTCCAACCGAACTGAAACTCACCTTAACACAATGTAAAGTCTCTTATACATACACAGACAAACAATTAATATTTCCTATACACGCACATATTCACTATTAACGTCTCCTATATTACACATATTCACACTATTAACATCTCTATATTTACACATATTCACACTATTAACGTCTCCTATATTACACATATTCACACACTATTAACATCTCCCTATATACTTTCGTACACATATTCTTTAATATGCGTCTCCTATATTACACATATTCACACTATTAACGTCTCTATATACTCGTACACATATTCACACTATTAACGTCTCTATATTACACATATTCACATATTAACGTCTCCTATACTCGTACACATATTCACACTAATAGCGTCTCCTATATTACACATATTCACACTATTAACATCTCCTATATACTTCGTACACATATTCACACTATTAACGTCTCCTATATTACACATATTCACACTGATAACGTCTCCTATATTACACATATGCACTATTAACATCTCCTATATACTCGTACACATATTATTCACACTATTAACGTCTCCTATATTACACATATTCACACTATTAACATCTCCTATATACTCGTACACATATTCTACACTATTAACGTCCTATATTACACATATTCACACTAATAGCATCTCCTATATACTCGTACATATTCACACTATTAACGTCTCCTATATTACACATATTCACACTATTAACATCTCTATATACTCGTACACATATTCACTTACACATATTCACACTATTAACATCTCCTATATACTCGTACACATATTCACACTATTAACGTCTCCTATATTACACATATTCACACTATTAACATCTCCTATATACTCGTACACATATTCACACTATTAACGTCTCCTATATTACACATATATACTCTATTAACGTCTCGTATACACACATACACACTACTAATGTCTCCTATACACACACAAATATACACATAATGCGTCTCCTATATTGCATATTCACACTATTAACAGGGAGGAGCAG